TCCTAAGTGCGTTATTTCAGGACTTCCAACTGGTTTGAACCCCTACTGAGAATTTGCATTTCTAGCAAGTTCCCAGGCGATGAGATGCTAATGCTGTTGGTTAGGGACCAGTTCTGAGACCCAGTAAACCAGTTGTCGTTGAGTCGATTCCGTTGAGTTGATTCCGGCTCATAGTGACCCTATAGGACAGAGTAGAACTGCCCCATAGGGTTTCCAAGGAACAGCTGGTGGGTTCATACTGCCACCTTTTGGTTAGCAGGCGAGCTCTTAACCACTGCGCCACCAGGGCTCCGATGATAGACCCCAAACCAAAACCTTTGCCATGGAGTCAATTCTGACTCATAGCGACCCTATAGGACAGAGTAGAACTACCCTATAGGGTTTCCAAGGCTGTAATCGTTACAGAAGCAGACTGCCACATCTTTCTGCCATGGCTGGTGAGTTCAAACCACCCCGACCTTTTGATTAGCAGCCGAACACTGAACCACCGCCCCGCCAGGGTTCCTTACTAGTAGAGCACTGGCTCTTGAGTTTTATTATACATGAGAATCACCTGGGGATCTTGTTAAAATGTAGATTCTGATTCAGTGTATCTGGGGGTGGAAATGCGAATTCTCAGCAGGGGTTTGAACTGAAACACACTGGTTCAAAGCCCTGCTTAGCTGAGTTTCTTATTTCACCCTTACCTGATCCTGTAGTCCCGGCTTAAGGGGGGAGCCAGCCAAGGCCCAGGGGAGAGATGGCTGGCCCAGCATTGCCCACCAGGAAGGGGCAGAGCTAGGGTTCACCCCCAGTGTCTGTGCTCTCAGCCACTGTTGTGACCCCCGGTTTATGTGGGAGACAAGTCGGCCTGACAGGTTGGGCTGCCCACGGCACCCGGCTGGTGTGCAGCGGAGCTGCAGCCCCGGGCTCCTGGCTCCCGAGCCTGCGCCGTCACTGCACAGTGCCCTGCCTGGTGGCGCTCGGGCAAGTGTGGCTCCCCCCACGCCCTCCCCCTGCCCTGGAGCCCAAGTGAGGGATGGGAAGGTTCCTGAGAGCATCCCGATGGGAGATTGTTTGGGGGTGTGGGGGGGATGCCTGGGTTTATATCCCTGGGCCTCTGCTTGTTGGCTGAGTAACTGGGCAGCCGTCCGCCTCTCCATGCCTCAGTCTCCTCGTTTGTAGACCGGTGCTCGCGTCGGCGGGCTGTCGGGGGGATCGCAGCACTTACTGCACGTAAAGCCCTGAAAACAGAGTCTGGCGCGGGGTGAGCACTCTGCAAGTGTCGGTGGTCGTTAGATGCTCTCGAGTCGATTCCGACTCATGGTGACCCCATGTGTGTGGAGTGGTCCTGTTCCATAGGGTTGTCAGGACTGACCTTTCGGAAGCAGAGCTGAGGCACCTCCAGGTGGGTTTGAACCACCAACCGTTCGGTTAGCAATCCAGCACTTAACCATTTGCGCCACCCAGGGACTGCTCTCTAAGTGGTAGATGTCACTGTTGTAGGTGAGACCCTCCCTAAAAGGTGGTCCAGGTCAGCAATTCTGAGGGGAGGCCTTTCTTCGCTTGGCTCCTGGGCCCCAGAGCGTGGTGTTCCTTGGTCCATGACCCTTCCTGAGAGAGTGCCCCACCCGGAATCGGGAACTGGGGCTGCAGCTTTCATCGGCTTCTCCTCAGGCCCCACTGGCACAGGGCAAGGGGGGTGGGGGTGAGGGGAGCCGCCAAAGAGCAGGGTGTGCCTAGGCGTGTGTCTCAGCTCCACCGCATCCTGACTGTCCTCTGCAGGTGACTCCACCTCTGTGCCTCAGTTTCCACATCAGTGTTCTTGAGGAGGATTAAATGAGGTGATGTCTGTAGAGTTGGCCCCTCAGTGCTGTTCTTCTTCTGGTCATGTCTCAAGGTGAAGAAGGTTGATTCCGCTGGGGGTGGGTCTTCTTTGGGGGGCGTGCAGGCACTTCAGCCCCAGCCTCAGCCCCTGGTGGAAGTTCCCCTCTGCCCCAGTCACATGTCGCAAACTCTTGAGGAGTGTCCTGGATAGAGGCCTTGCTTTTCCTCTGGAGGCTGAGTGCTGCAACCTTGCAACCTCGGTCCAGTTGGAACAGGATTGGGGGCTGGTCAGGCGGCGGGAGAGCCCCAGTTAGGCCCTACCAACCTCCTCCTGTGTCCTGGTGAGCAGGTCATGGCCCCCGGTCACTCGGCAGCTTGAGCCAGAGTGGGTGGGAGAGGTTCCGGCCCCCCACCCAGTGTGGCTAACACCTCCCTTGACTTCAGCACTTCGTACCACACCCTGTGCTTGGTGCTTTGCACACAGCTGCTCCCCGGCGTCTCAGCGGCCCCGGTCTGCAAGGGCAATGAGCCTGCCCCTGCGGCAGAATGGCGTTTGAGCCCCAGCCCTTGTGCCTCTGGAGCCCTGCTCCTGGTCACCGCGCCCGTGGCCTTCAGATAAGCCTCTGCGAGTAGCCCTCAGAGCCTCTTCAGGGGTTTCCGAGTGTGGACGAGCCGTAGTTCTCTTCAGGCCTCTGATGATGAACTGCATGTGTCGCTCTTCCCGCCCTTTCTTCCTGTAAACATGGTGTCACACTAGGCATCTTAAATTTTTTCACCCGACAATCTCGCAAGATTTCTATGTACTACATAGTTTTATTACTTCTTTTTCTTTCTAATATATTCATATTAGGAGACCTGTGATTTCTCTGAGCTGCAAAGTTGGCATTTTTAAATTTCTAAGAGGACAAATGTAATTTGATAAAGCCTATCACGGAATGTGTCCCCTCTTTTTTGGGAAAAACAGGACTGTTGATGTAGGTGTTGGGATTTAGGCCGTGACTCGTTCCAAAGGGGGCATGGGTTATAGCAGGTTGAGCAACAGCAGCCCGAGGCGACGGTTCAGGCCGTGAGGGCAGCATGACCCCGCTGGAGCCGACTTGTGCCGACTCCTGGATTCCTTCCCCACACACCTGCTGAGGGCCTGGCCCAGGTGCTGGGGGCTCATCACCAACAGTGACCGGAAGTGCTTTCCTTCCCGGGCGGGCGCTCCTGTGCTGTGGGGACAGCAGACTCCACGGGTCTTGGGAGGGCCCATGCCTGGGGCGGGAGGCACGGCGGCGTGCCAAACCTCGTGGTTATGTCCACGTGCGTGAATGTGATTGTCTTATGAAGCGTGATCTCACGCGGGGCAGGCCACTTCGAGAGCCTCTTTGTGGTAAGGGGGTGCCCTTGAGCTTCGCTCTCAGTTGCCACTCAATTTAGCGTACCACCGAGTTCAGCCAAGAGTTGCCCCTGACACTTGGCCCTGGGGAAGGTCTTTGTGATTCCAGCTGCCAGGCCTGGAGGAACTGCTGTGACTTACTCAGATTTTGTGTTCGAATCTGTGCCTCGGAGTCCTCATCTGTAATGCGGGAGGTGGGGGTAGGTAATAATAGCGAGCGCCGTGGCAGCACAGGTTATGGGAGGGCGGTGGGATTAAGACTCTGTTTGCCCCAACTCCCGCTTTCCCTGCCTGGAGGCAGCCAGGGCTCCAGCTTACTGAGCGCCCAGCCAGAGACACGCCTGCTTCCGGAGCAGGTGGGTCTACACAAAAATCCTTCCGTTTCCCGGCTCTAGTAGCATAATACTCCACACAGTTCTGCACCTGACTGAGGAGGTCTCACTCAGCTCTTTCCTGCTCAGCACAGAGACCTGCCTGTCTGTCCTTCCTCTCCGCTGCAAGGCAGCTTATGCGCTCCTGCCTCACAGCAGCCCCAGGGGTCAGGTACTGTTCCATCGACTCTGAGACACTGTCCTCTGGAAGTCACCATTCTTTTAAATAATATGAAAAAACCCCAAAACCCAGTGCCCAATTAAACCCACACAGGTTTACAGCAGTTGTAAGAAGCAGCCAGATTCCAGCAGTGTTAACCACGGTCAGAATGTGCGCTGCAGTCCTGGTGGAATACAGTTAGTCCCATCTGAGAGAGGAGGAGGCGGAGACGCGGAGCAGTACAAGGCCATGTGGAGTCGGCCTCGGGCTCTGAGTCCCAACTCCAGCCCCCTGCTCCCTGCGTGACCTCGGGCACAACAGGAGGGATGCCACCTGCCCCCTGGGTGCCCTGATCTGGCTCCCATCAGAGCTGGATGAAGGCATCAGCGCTTATTTGCATCACTGTGACTTGGGAGGGTGCCTGCTTGTCCTGTTTGGATTGTCTCGTTCTTAGTGAGCATTCTGTTTTTCCCGCTGGCCATGGTGGTGGTTTTATAGACAAAAGCAGAATATACAGGGGATTCAGGAGGTATTGAGATGAACCATCTAAAATCGCTGTGTGCTAGGTCAGAACCGGGGTGATGTTGGCAGTTCAGTACCGTTCAGCCGGATATGTTTTTCTTTTTGGCCTCTGGCTGTTTTCACTCCTTTTCCTAGCTACATTTCTCCTCTCTACAGGCAGAACAGTTTGCAAGTATCAAAAGAAAAATCTTCCCTGAGTGACATACGGAACTAATTTATTCTCCAAACCAGTCTCCCTTTTGCTAGGACCTGGGTCTCTGTCAGCTGACTCCTGCTACATCCTGTCCTGCCAGGACGCTGCCCTGACCCCCTCCTTGGCCCCAGGCCTGAGTCCCATCACTCTTCAGCTTCTTTGGCTAATGAATGCTTCCTTTTACTCTCTGTTTTCTTTCACAAAACATTTGTGGCTTGTGAACCTGAGGTTGTGGTTTGTTTCCAAGGAACTCCGAGGAGCACTGGCTCCCTCATTTACGATCCGGGTGGCGACTCATTGTCAAGAGGCCGTGAAGAGAGGCGGCTTGGAGCGCACCTGCTGGGCCCCTGCCAGGCCAGTGCTGGCATGTCGATGGCCTCCATCCTTGTTCCACTCCTGCGCTCTCCCACCCACCACAGCCAGGTCCCCTCATCCCGTCAGCTCGCCCTGGCTCAGAACGCCCAAAGGCAGTTGGGCCATTTGCTCACCCGCTTGAGGGTGGGGGCTCTGGCTGGGCCGGACTCAGGCCCGGCACTCAGGGCCCCTGGCATGCACGTGTCCCCACAGGGAGGAGTGGATGCAGGCCATTCAGATGGTCGCCAACAGCCTCAAGCAGCGGGGCCCGGGCGAGGACTCCATGGACTACAAGTGTGGCTCCCCCAGCGACTCTTCTGCGGCCGAGGAGATGGAAGTGGCTGTCAGCAAGGCGCAGGCCAAGGTGGTAAGTGCTGGGTACAGGTGACCAGGGGGTGGGGGCTGTCGATCTGCAAGCGCCCCCCGTGCGGGCCCTGCCAGTCATGGGCGTCCATACAGAGCGTGCAGTGGCCCAGCAGGAGGGGCGATTCCAGGAGGTGGCTGCCCTGGGGTCTGCTCTGTGTCCGTGGGGTGGGGGAGCCTGGGCAGCCCAGCTGGAGCTGCTGCCACGGCTGCTGTACAGCTTGTGCGCATGGATATGCCCCAGCCTCTTCCGGGGGGTGAAGACGTGCCCCTCCATGTCGGTGCCAAGCCCCCCTTGCAGGGCACCATGCTGGGAGCGCCGAGGCCTGAAGGCTGCTTCAGGACTCAGTTGCTGCCCAGAGCCTCTCTTCCTGCCTCTAGCCCGAGCTGTTGGGCAACAGTGTCCTTTGCTTTTCCTCCTTCTCTGTGAAAATGCCCTCCTCTGGGGCATGGGCCAGGCGCCGACTCCCCGTCTCCCTCTTCCTCCCCCGGGGCAGACCATGAGTGACTTCGACTATCTCAAACTCCTCGGCAAGGGTACGTTTGGCAAAGTCATCCTGGTGCGGGAGAAGGCTACCGGCCGCTACTACGCCATGAAGGTCCTGCGGAAGGAGGTCATCATCGCCAAGGTGGCGCACCTGGCCTCTGGGAGTCACCATCTGGAGGCCGAGCACCCACCGTGCCTTCCACCCCCCCATCACCTCTCCCTCACAAGCCATCCCCCCCTTGGACTCAGTCCTATCAGGCCCGGTCAGGGAAGTGGGGTGTGAGGCCCAGAGAGGAGCAGGCCTCCTGCTGAGTCCCCCCATCCCACCCTCCGGGTGCCTGGGGGCTGAAGGGCTGGAGAGGAGGTCCCGGGAGATGAGAAAGGGCCTGTGGGAGGCTGAGGGGCATGGGGCTTGGCTCAGGGTGTCCTAGGAGGAGGGCTGGGCTGGGAATGGAATTCTGTTTCTTATCTTATTTAAAGTGTTTATAGTGGAAAATTCCAAACCTATACAAAATTTTAAAAGGAAAAATGAATACACTGAACTCCTATGTAATTATTATCCAGTTTCCATAATCACCAACATTTCGCCAACCTCGTTCATTAGCTCTGCCCTTTCCTCTCTCTTTTTTCAATTGTTCCGGAGTATCTTATAGCATATTCTGGACATTGTATCATTTCATCCATACATACTTAGGTGTGTATCTTTAACAGATAAAGATTTTAAAGAGTGTAATCGTGGTACTGTAATCAGACCCAGAGTCCCTGGGTGATATAAACTGTTAACACACTCGGCTGCTAACTGAAAAGTTGGAGGTTCGAGTGCACCCAGAGGCACCTTGGAAGAAAGACCTGGCGTTCTACTTCTGAAAGATGACAGCCACTGAAAACTCTGGAGCACAGTTTCCCTCTGAAACACATGGGGTCACCCTGACCGCGGCTGGTTGCTGGTTATTACCGTACTCAACAAAAGCAACAGCAATTCCCGACGCACGGGGCCCATGGCAGGGTTTCCCAGCTTCAGCACTGTCGACATTTTGGGCCAGATCGTTCTTTGTGCCAGGGACTGTCCTGCGCCTTGTAGGACGTTCAGCAGCATCTGTGGCCTCTGCAGACTAAAGCCAGCACCCCCCACCCCGTGCCCCAATTTGTGGCAATCAGAAATGTCTGCAGACATCACCAGCTGCTCCCTAGGGGTGGAGAGCTTGGGGTCTGAGTTGTTGCAGGCGTGCAGGAGTTTGGCAGCTCTCTGGGTGGGCAGACAGTGCAGGCAGAGGTCAGACTCGAGGCTGCATCACTGCAGAGCCTGCGAGTCCGTGTGGGCCCACCCCCAGAGTGGTGGGCTCAGTGGGTCAGGCTGGGCTCGAGAAGGTGCATTTTTCACAAGTTCCCAGGTGATGCTGATGCCACTGGTGTGGGGACTTGAGAGTCTAGAGCCTTGAGTAGATCCAGTTTGTTCTTTCGTCAAGGACTCTCCGTGGCTGGTGACCCACATCCTGTGGCGTCACTGCAGGGGTCTCTTCATGTCTGGTGAACCCCTGCACTGACGTTACAATTGATCTGTGGGTCCAGGTGGGGGCAGCCTGACCCTTCATCATAAAGTTCCTATCGACTTTTCACCTCATGGGTCTGGGAGCCGCTCGGGATCCTTGTTTGGGTCCATTGTTTGATTAGGGCTTGTGAATGGTAGTTCCTTCTGCATTTATTGGCTAGAAATGGAGTTGCTTTTCACCAAGACACGGTTCCTTGCCTCCCTCAGGGTGGGGCGGGCTGGCCCGGTATTTCCTGCCAGCCTCGCATCTGGCACTCTCTGTCTGCAGGATGAAGTTGCCCACACAGTCACCGAGAGCCGGGTCCTCCAGAACACCAGGCACCCGTTCCTCACTGTGAGTTGCACGCCCCTCCTCAGTCAGGGCCTCTAGGCCAGCCCCTTTGGACAGAGCTCAGGGAGAGCTGGACCCGGCCACTGCAGAGCACAGATGGGATGTAGGCCGGGTGGGCCCCCCAAGTCACCAGAGTGGTGGTTTCTTCATAGATGGTGACTTCATATAAGCTCCTCAGCCGGCTGATCTCCTACAGTAGAAGACGGCCCCACAGAGCATGACTGCTATGAGTTAGGGGCGCCGCACACGGCGGCTCACAGCAGGAACACTGTTTCTGCTGTCAGATGTAGCCCTGGAAGCAGATGTGTTGTCACTGTGCTGCTGTGGCTTGGGCCTAGTGGAGGCCCCTTTGGGCTCCTGGCTCCATCAAGACCAGCAGCCAGCAGTTAAATGGCCCAGGCTGAGGATGGCGTGGGTCGTGTCTTTAGCTCAGTTGCTGTGCAGATGTCATGTTAAGCCACAGCACTTACTCAGATGAAGTCTTACCAGGGACCTTAGTGTAAGGACAGGTTGCGGTAGAGTTGTCGTGTGTAGAGGGTCACCCGCGGGCTGTCTAGAGGAACTCCTCAGAGCCCAGTCAGAACTACTGTTTTTTGACTGACAACGTTGTCTGTCCTGCAGGAGGCCACCGTGCATCGCTCGTGTGTGTGTGTGTGTGTGTGTGTGTGTGTGTGTGTGTGTGTAAATTTAATGTAGGAGAGATATAAAACAGCTCTAGGTGCTCAGAACAGATTTCTCCCTGGCCAGCCTCTCAGAGGCTGTGTTGGAGGCAGACGACGAGATAGCTCCACACAGTAGCCTTTCCCTGCCCCCTGAGCCAGGCGTGCACTCCCATCCCCTGGAGGTGAGGCTGGGCTTTGGCCCCCCACCTCCTCCTCCCACGGCCCAGGCTGGGGGCATGTGCACAATTAGCTGTGGCTCGCCTCCTTCCCACCTCCCACCCCTCAGGCACTGAAGTACGCCTTCCAGACCCATGACCGCCTGTGCTTCGTGATGGAGTATGCCAACGGTGGCGAGGTGAGCACCTCCCTGCCTCGCTTCTGAGCGTCTCCTGAGAGTGGGGGAGGCTGAGAGGGAGCTGTGGGTGAGATGCGGGGCCTGCAGGGAGTCAGAGACGTCAAAGACTCGCTGACAGTCATCTTGTTGCATCCTCCCCCACGCCCCCTCGATGCAGGTGGGAAACATGAGGCTCTGACGGGTTGAGTGGCTTGCCCCAGTTCAGGGTCCCACCCAGGTGCAGAGAGGTGTGGAGGGCGGCGGGGTGAGGAGGGTGGTTGGCTCCTAGCTTGCAAAGGCCCTTCTTAAGGCCCCAGAGAAAACATGAGGCTTGAAGCCCATCAGTCCTGGTTTCCTGGGTCCTCCTGGTGCCACTTTCTGTCACTGAGTTGCTCTCCCTCCCTCCGTCACCCCTGCTTGTCCCTCACCCTCCTCTGTGCCCTCGGATGTGACGCACAGATAGGATGGTTGGCTCCGTCCGCCTGATTTGATCTCTCACCGCTCACTGTCACCAGCTTACGGTTTTGGGGTCCTCTTTGCTTGCTGTCACCACTTGTCCCTCGTGCTGTCCCTCCTTCCCTCTCCCGTGGGTGCCAGCTGGCCGCCCTCGCTCCTCGCCCCCTGCTAGGTGGTTTTCTCCCTCAAGTGACCGCTCCCTGCTCACCATCCCTCACTCTGTCCCTCTCGCTGTCACTTGCTGGTTCATGAAGCTGGTATCACTGTGTCACTGGGCTGGGAGCCAGGGTCTGGGAGGGTGAGGGCAGGTGGGTGGGCTGGGGGCCTGACCTCGCCCCCGTCCTCCCCCGGCAGCTGTTCTTCCACCTGTCCCGGGAGCGTGTCTTCACAGAGGAGCGCGCCCGGTTTTATGGCGCCGAGATCGTCTCTGCCCTCGAGTACTTGCACTCGCGGGACGTGGTGTACCGTGACATCAAGGTGAGCCCGTGCTCGCCTCTCGGCTCTGTTACCTGGGGTGGGAGGGTCGAGGCCAGAGAGGGTCCTGCTCTCATTTGCTGAGCTTCCCCTCCACAAGCCTGGTAGCCGGCTCCCTTGGGGCCGCTAGCCCTCCCCACCCAGGGCCAAGCAGCCGTGCAGCGGGGACCTTTTCGAGCCTCTTGTGAACACTCCTGTGCTGCTGGGGTGGGGTGGGGAAGTCGGTACAACCTCCTGGGGAGATAGTTTGGCAGTGCCCACCAGAGCTGAACACGCCCCCTGGGACACAGCTGTCCTGCCTCAGTAATGCGCTCGCCACACACCGCGCGCGCTCACAGCAGAACTGTTCACAACTGCCCCCACTGGGTGCAGCCCAGACACCCGCTGACAGCAGGGTGGGAGCCTGCTGTGGTACGGCCACCCCGCCGCGTTCCCTGCAGCGGTTCCAACCAGCACACCACGCCTGCGCGCCCCAGTGTGGCTGTGTCTCCTGGGCGTCCCGTTGCACGAAAGAAGCCCGGACAGACGGATAAGTCTAGGATGACTCTAGGTGGTTTACAGGTGTATGCGTGGGTGGTAAAAGCATGAAAGAACAGCAAGGAAGTGAAAGTTGCTTTCAAGTTGGCGGGGAGGGGGTGGTTAATAACTGGGACACGGGAGGGGTCTCTGGGAACTGTAATGTTCTCTCTTGACCTGGTGGAGGTTACATAAGAGTCCACTTCATCCTTTTTATTAAATTGTCCGTTTGTGTTTTATGCTGTTTCCTGGGGTACATTTCAGAATTAAAAAAAAAAAAAAAAAAAAAAAAAACTATAAAAGACAGGGCCTCTCACACCTGAGGTTGGGAAGCTGTAGCTGATGTGAGGTGCAGCACTCAGCCCTCACTACCCGGCAGCTTGGGGCAGGCCTGGCTTCTCTGATTTCCAGCTGCTCTGGGCCAGCAGGTGGGGAGGTGTGGGATCTGCGCCGTGGCTGCCCCAGGGCCTAGCCTGCACAGTGGAGCTGATGCCCAGGAGCGGCTGGCATGGCGGCCACCCCAGCCACAGCCCCCTCTAAGAAGGGGCTGGGGCCTGAGGGGCAGCAGGAAGCCCTGGAAGGACATGTCCCTGATCCATTGACTTTTCCTACAGCTGGAAAATCTCATGCTGGACAAAGATGGCCACATCAAGATCACTGACTTTGGCCTGTGCAAGGAGGGCATCAGTGACGGGGCCACCATGAAAACCTTCTGTGGGACCCCGGAGTACCTGGCGCCCGAGGTCTCTGGGGCTGGGGGTACAGGGACATGTGAAGCCAGGGCTGCATGTCTGACCCGCTCAGACCCCAAGGGCAGGGCCGTGTCTCCCCGCGGGCCCTGTCAGCTCCTCACGGTCCTCCTTCCTCAGGTGCTGGAGGACAATGACTACGGCCGGGCCGTGGACTGGTGGGGGCTGGGCGTGGTCATGTACGAGATGATGTGTGGCCGCCTGCCCTTCTACAACCAGGACCACGAGCGCCTCTTCGAGCTCATCCTCATGGAGGAGATCCGCTTCCCACGCACGCTCAGCCCCGAGGCCAAGTCTTTGCTTGCTGGGCTGCTTAAGAAGGACCCCAAGCAGAGGTGAGGGCTGGCGCCTGCCCCGCCTGGCCATTGCTGCCAGCAGTCCCTGTGCCAGACCAGGCAGCATCTGCAGGCGTGCGTGCTCGCTCTTTCTCACTGTGCTCCACCGAGTGGATGCGACTCGTCTCCACATGGTTCCCTCAGAGTCCTCACACTCCATGCTGCCTGGTTTTATGGTGGGACGCTGAGGAAGGAACAGGGCGGCCCCCTGGTCTGGGGTCCTTGAGTTGTAGGTGGGAGAGCCGGGGTGTGAACCTGGCCGTCACCCACCGTTCTATACTCTGGTGGCAATGGCGGGCTGTGGGGCCGCACGGGCTGGACTGCAGTCTCCCTGGCTCTGACTCTGGGCACGTGACCTCCCTGCCCCGAGCCTCGGTTTCCTCATCCGTGAAGAGGGCATCTGTGGCTCAGACAATTCATTAAAGGCTGTTCAGGGCCCACACATAACAGGCTTAGGCCTGCCCCGAGTGCCCGTCTCCTGGAAGCTGGCTGCCCTGGGGGCTGGGTCTGATGCTGTTCTCTGCCCAGGCTTGGCGGAGGGCCCAGCGACGCCAAAGAGGTGATGGAGCACAGGTTCTTCCTCAGCATCAACTGGCAGGATGTGGTACAGAAGAAGGTGAGCCCCACCGCCCACCCACCAGCCCTGGCAGGAGCGCCTGGGGGCCAAGTCCTCCCCTCTCAGGGTCCCTGAGTCTGGACTCCTCTCCTCGTAGCTCCTGCCACCCTTCAAACCTCAGGTCACATCTGAGATCGACACAAGGTACTTCGATGACGAGTTCACCGCCCAGTCCATCACAGTCACACCCCCGGACCGCTGTGAGTGTCGGGGCCTTCTCGCCTGGTGGCCTGGGCTGTGGGGAAGGATGGGGTCTTCTCTTGGCCCAGCTCCCCAGGAAGGAAACCCCACGTCGGACAGTTTGCTCTGTGGTGTGCTCACAGGGCATTTCACTGCTGGTCTCCTAGTGGGACACAGAAAGCATTGGCTATAGCTAATTCTGGGGCTCTGGGCTCCCGGGAGACAGCCTGGAGCTCTGGGGTCTCTGGGGCTGGATTGGCCCAGTGATGGGCAGTACTGGCAATAGCAGTGACCGAGACAGTCCCGGGCCTGCCCTGTGGAGCCCTGGGCCAGGTGGGGAGACAGACCTCTGCCCAGAGTGACAGCCCAGAGTGTCAGGACTGGGCGGGGGTGCCCAGAGGAGAGAAAAGCTGGCCCAGCCTGGGGTCAGGAGGCTTCCCGGAGGACGCGTGCCCGCTGAGCCATGTTCCAGGCTGAGGGGATGCACAGACTCGCTGAAATGGGAGCGAGCATTGTATAGTCCAGTAACAGAGGAGGGTTGGGGAGGGGAGGAAAGAGAGTGTCGGGGCCAGAGGAGGCAGGACCTGGGGGCCACTGTGAGGAGTGGGGCCATTTTCTGGAGGGTCCTGGGGGGCCATGGTGGGTTTTGTGCAGAGGAGTGCCAGCGTTGCCTTGGGAAAGTTCTCTGGCCTCCATGTGGAGGGTGGACTGAAGAGGACGAGAGTGGAGGCCAGAGCCGGGCACCGGCCGAGAGGCCTGCGCTGGACCAGGGATTCACTGGGAGGAGGGCTGGGCTGCGGGCCTGAGGACTGGGGCCACACTGAGGTGGGGTCTACCAGGAAGGAAGTGCCTCAGCCTTGGGGCCCATCCTGACAGGCCCCCAGCGCGGCTCCTCCACTGGTCTGACCACAGTCCTGTGGCCTTTTCCTTCGGTGTCCCCCAGGGAGCCTGGGCCCTCTGAAGGCCGGCCCCCCAATCCACCTCCCCAACCCCCACAGATGACAGCCTGGGCTCCCTAGAACTGGACCAGCGGACCCACTTCCCCCAGTTCTCCTACTCAGCCAGCATCCTCGAGTGAGCAGGCTCTGCAGACCGACTGACCGCCACCACAGGAGGCACGGGTGGCTTTTTAAAACCTTTTTATTTTGCTGGTTTTTTTGTTTGTGTCCTTGCCCCTCCCCTCGTCACCCCATACCCAGCTCTTTCTTCGGCCCTCCCCCAAACTCCTCAGCGTCCCAGCAGCCCTTGCCTTCAGGGAGTGCCTGTCCCCCTCACCTTCGTGCCCAGACTAGTACTGGGAGACGCTCCACCTCCTGCCCCAGGAGCGGGCCTCTGGAGGGCTGGGGAGATGATTTTTTTTAATCACCACAAGCCCCGACGAGGGGTGAAGCGTGGAATGTGGCCGCCTGTCTATGCACTGCTGCTGTGGGACAGAGGAGGCGGCCGCCTTGTGGGACGCGGTGTCTGGCGACGGCCCAGGCGCTGCCTGCCGTCGTGTGGCTGAGGCTCCCAGTGACCTGGCATAGGGCAGTCCAGCCTCCCCCCATGGGGGCAGAAAAGCAATAATGTCTGGGGCCCGGCAGGGGCCTGAGGAAGCTGTGGGCTCAGAGGGGTTAGGGCTCCCTCAGGTGGGTGGCACTGTGTCCTCAGCTCTCCCCTTGGGGAACCAGGAAGGGCCCGGGGGTGGGCACTGCCTCCTCGCCCTGCCTTTGCCCCGCCCCGCCCCCGAGCTGCTGTCCTGACTTTGGGGATGAGGCAGGAGGAACATTTTGGGGCTACCCCCGCCCCCAGCCCCGTGCCTTACCAGGCTTCCCTCCTGCTGGACCCTGGGCCTGGGCCCAGCCTAGTTGGAGGGTGAGGGCAGGGATCACCCATTCTCTGCCTGGGGCAGAGGGGCACCTGCCTTGGCTGTTACACATCTCACACCAAGACAGTATTGGGCCTGTGGTCAGGTGGAGGAGCAGGTAGGGATGGGAGTCTGGTATGTATTGGGGTGGGTGGCCTCTGAGAAGGGAGGCCCCCAGGTCCTCTTGCCACCCCCACTCTCCAGGGCCCCACATTCTGCAGCCTTAAGGTGAGCATGAGTGAGTATATGGCAGTGCTGTGGGCACACGGCGCCTGGATGCTGTGTCAGGGACACAGGTGCACACAGGTGTGCGTGCCTGGATCTGTGTGTGCATGTATGTGCATGCGTGCTGTGTGTGTGAGGGCAAGTGTGTCCAGACCCTCAAATGTGTGTACGTGGTGTGTGTGTGGTGTGTGTGGATTTGGGCCCCCATCCCTGGCCCAAGCATTTCATCCCTTGGGGTGGGGGGTGGGAGGGTTCTGAGCTAGTGGGAGGAGCCACACCTGCCCTGTCCACGTCTCCCCTCCTCTCCCTTCCCCTCCCACCCAACATCTCCAGGTGTTTGGAATTTTTGTGGTTTTGACCCTTCCAACCCCATCCTGTACTGGGCTGTTCACAGAAGGGCATCATGGGGTGGGGATGGGATAGGTTGGTTTGGGTGGTGGGGGGTCTTTTTTGTGTGTCTTTTCTCTGACATCTTCCCCGCCCTCTGGCCTTTCTCAACTTCTCCTTGTATTTGTACGGTACAAGCAATAAAGACCAGGGCCAAGCCTGCACTCATGCTGGCCCGACACCTGGGACCCCCCGCCCCTTGCTTCTGGAGTCCAGTCCCTGTGTACCAGCTGTTTCCATCTGCTCTGTTCAGAGGGCCCTGCCGAGCCAGAAGGTGGGGAAGCAGGTGGGCGAGGCCGAGCAGAGGCTGGACGTGGGAGCGAGCTAGGTGCGCCTCTAGACTTGGGCAGCTTCGGGGTGGGGTGTGCCCGTTTTTTTCTGGTGTACACCTTAGTGATAACAGCTCCATGAGTCAAGTTGTAACCATTACCTTTAGTCGATGCTAATTTTCCCATCACCATAGACAAAAATTCACTACTTCCCAGAGGGAGATTTCCCTTCTTCCTAATGGGCATCCTTGTCTCATTCTTGTTCTCAAGGGGAAGTCAGTATTTTGCCATTGAGAATAATGTTGGCTATTAGTTTTGCATATATTCCCTTAATTATGTTGAGGAATTTCCCTTCTATCCCTATTTTGCTGAGAGTTTTTCTCAGGAGAAGGTGTTGGATTTTAGCAAATGCCTTTTCTACATCTGTTGAGATGATCATGTGGTTCTTTTCCTTTGTTTTATTAATGTGGTGTTATTACATTGATTCTCTAATTTTGAACTATCCTTGCATTCCTGGAATAAGTCCCACTTGTAATGGTGTATAAATTCTCTTAATATGTTGTTGGATTCTGTTCACTAGTATTTTGTTGAGGATCTTGGCATCTGTATTCATGAGGGATACTGGTCTGTAGTTTTCTTGTGGTGTCTTTATCTAGTTTTGGTATCATGGTAATGTTGGCTTCATAGGATGAGTTAGGGACTGTTCCTTCCTCTTCTGTATTTTGGAAGAGTTTGGGCAGGACTGGTGTCATTCTCCTCTGAATGTTTGGTAAAATTTCCCAGCAAAGCAATCTGGTCCTGGGCTTTTGTTGTTGGGAGACTTTTGATGACTGATTCAATCTCCTTTTATGGGTCTGTTGAGAGTTTCTACTTCTGTTAGTATAGGTAGGTTATGCGTTTCTAGATATTTGTCCATTTCGTCTTAAGTTTTCAAGTTTGTTGGAGTATAATTTTTTGTACTATTCTCTTAGAATTCTCTTTATCTCAGTTGGATCTGTTGTGACGTCTCAATTTCATTTTTTATTTTGGTTATTTGCATCCTCTCACTTTTTTCCTTTGTCAGTCTAGCCAGTGGTTTGTCTGTTTTATTGATTTTTTTCAAAGAACCAACTTCTGGTTTTGTTGATTCTCTATTTCTGTTCTCTGTTTCATTTATTTCTGTTCTGATCTTTATTATTTTCTTCTTCTGGTAGCATTGGGCTTCTTTTGTGCTTCTTTTTCTGTTTCTGCAAGTTGTAGAGTTAAGCTGTTGATTTGGAATCTTCTTTTTTAATGTTGGCATTTAGTGCTGTGATTTCCCTCTGAGCACTGCTTTCCCTGTGTCCCATATAGGTTTTGGTATGTTGTGTTTTCATTCTCATTCAATTCTAGGTATTTTTTATTTCTCTCTTGATTTCTTCTACGACCCATTGGTTCTTTTTAGTAGTGTGTTATTTAGCTTTCCCCTTTTTCTTCCTGTGATTGATTTCTAGCTTCATTCCATTATGGTCAGAAAAGATGCTTTGTATGATTTCAGTCATTTTAAATTTATTGAGATTTGCTCTGTGTCCTAAAATATGATTTATTCTGGAAAATGATCCATGTGCATTGGAGAAGAATGTATATTGTGCTGCTGTTGGGTGGAGTGTTCTGTTTATGTCTGTTAGGTCCAACTGGTTAAAAGTGCTGTTCAGAGCTTCTGTTTCTTTATTGATCTTCTTTCTAGTTGTTCTTTCATCATCTAAAATAGTGTATGAAAGTCTCCTACTATTATTGTAGACCTGTCTGTCTCTCCCTTTGATTCCCTTAGAGTTTGCTTGATCAATTTTGGAGCTCTGATGTTAGATGCACAGATATTTATAATTGTGATACCTTCTTGGGAATTGACCCTTTTATCATTATATAGTATCCTTCTTTGTTTCTTATAATAGATTTTGATTTAAAGTTTATTTTGTCGGATAGTGATATTGCCACACCTGCTCTCTTTTGGTTAGTGTTTGCTTAGAATTTTTTTTTTCCCCATCCTTTGACTTTTATCGTATTTATTGCTTTGTATCTAAGGTGTGTCTCTTATAGACAGCATATAGATAGGTCATTTTTTTAATCCATTCTGTCACTCTGTGTGTCTTGATTGGAGTGTTTAATCCATTTACGTTCACTGTCGTTATCAATAGGGGAGAATTTACTTCTTCCATTTTGTTATACTTTGTGAGACTTATGGCTTCTTTGGTCCTCTTTTTTTCCCCAGTGTTGACTTCTTTTTAATCTATAGATTTTGTCTTTCTTTTGTTCATTATTATTTTTTTTGTAGGTCCTGAGCTATTTTGTTTTCCCTCTATTTTATTGTATAATTTTATTATTTATTTTCTTTGTGATTATCATGGGGGATTTACATTTAAAACTGCATCTTACATTTAAAGCTACCTGTTACGTCTTGATACCAGCTTAACTTCCTTAACATATAAAAAGTCTGTCTCTACACCAGTCCCCCCTCTTTTGTTTGGATGTTGTCATCAGTTGCATCTTTGTATCTTGGCTCCCCTGTAACCTAAATTTATTTTACTGTTATATGTATTCAGTTATTATTTTCCATTTTTTCCGCCTATTTTGTCATTGTAAGCATGAAGGATATGCCCACTGTATTTACCAACCGCAAATATCTTGGGTCTAATCTTTATACTGTCAATGCTTCCTTTCAGTGGAATCACCCTTTTTATCTATCACTTCACGTTGCTGTCTGGTGTCTTTTTTATTTTTATTTTTTCCTGCAGGACTCCTTATTTCTTGTAGGACCAGTCTGGTGTTAACAGATTTCCTTAATTTTTGTTTACCTCGGAATGTCCTAATTTTGCCTTTTTTTTTTTTTTAATTGTACTTCAAGTGAAGACTTACAGAACAGTTTTTCATGAAACAGTAGTACACATATTGTTTTATGACATTGGTTAACAACCCCACAACATGTCAACCTTCTCCCTTCTCACTCTTTTTTTTTGGTGAAAATACACATAGCCAAAGATACACCATTTCAAAAATTTCTACATGCACCGTTCAGTGACATCAACTATGCTCTTCCAGTTGTGCTGCTGTTCTCACTTTAGATGAAGGCTTACAGAACAGAATAGTTTCTCATTTAACAGTTAGTACACATGTTGCCCGGTGACAATGGTTAACAACTTGCCTTCATTTTTACATGACAGTTCTGCTAGGTATGTTTTTCTTGGTTGACAGTTCTTTTATTTCAGCACTTAAATACGTTGTGCTGTTGCCTTCTTGCCTGCATGGTTTCTGACGAGAAATCGGCACTTAATCTTATTGAGGCCCCTTGGTATGTGATACTTTTTCCTGTGCTGCTCTCAAAATTCTTTGTTATTGTTTCTCGAGCGTTTGATTATGATATGCGTTGGTGTATTTCTTTTAGGGTTTATCCTGTATGGAGTTCGTTGGACTTCTTGGATATAAAATTTCTCGTCTTTTTTGTGATATCTGGGAAGTTGTCAAACATTCTTTCTGGGCCTTTTTTTCCTTTTTTCTTCTGGAACTCTCATAATGCCTATATTGTTTCTCTTGATGGTGCCCCACATATCCCTTAGGCTTTGTCCATTTTTCTTCATTTTTTCTGTTTGCTTCTCAGACTGATCAGTCTCAATGGCCCTGTCTTCTAATTCGCTGATTGTTTCTTCCACCTCTTCAGTTCTACTTCTGAATCCTTCCATGGCTCGGCACATGGGGCGGGGGGGACAGGGCCCTGGCCACACGGTGCACAGTACTGGTGGGGCAGGGCCCTTCGGTGGGCAGTGCTGGTGGGGTCGCAGTGCAGCTTGTGTGGTACTGGGAGGCGGAGCCCGTAGAAGTGGCACACAGCCATGGGAGGTCTCTGTCCTTCTATGCGGTACACAGTGGGGCCCTTCTACATGGCTCAGTGCCTGGCCCTGTTGGGCAGGGCCCTTCTGC